TCTCTCATTCTCCTTGATGGGGGTGGTTGTTGACTGTAACTGGTGAGTGAGCCCTCCCTGGCCTGTGTCTCGCTCCTCAAGCCCTTCGGGTTTTATTTTCTTCTCCCCATCCTTCAGGTAGCAGTGTGCTTTTGTGACCAGGCGAGTGGGCTCAAACCACAACGCTGCCTAAAGCTGAGACCATTGGCAAGGCTAGTGGCATTTTTGAGATAACACTTACAAAAGGGTAAAAAAAAGCCCCACAACTGTGTACACTGGTTGCAAGAGGTGAGCAAGGGGCAAGAAAGTGAGAGACACAACCCTCCAGACACCACAGTGAAGGAGGGGGAAGAGGTGCTCCAGGTGCTGAAACAGATCCTCCTGCAGTACATGGAGAGAATCACACTGGAGCAGATAGCCACACGGCAGCCCAGGGAGGATCCCATGCTGGGAGCAGGTAGATATGCCCTGAGGGAAGCTGCAGCCTGCTGGGAGAGCCCACATGGGTGCAGGCATCTGGTAGGACCTGTAGCGAACCCATACTGGAGCAGTCTGTTCCTGAGAAGCTGTACCCCATGAAGAGGACCCCGGGTGGAGCAAAGAACTGCAGTCCACTGCAAACACCCACATTTGAGCAGTTTGTAAACGACTGCGTCCCACAGGAGGGAGCCACACTGGAGCAGGAGAACAGTGTGAGGAGGAAGGAATAGAGACAAAGCTTGATGAACTGACTACAACCTACCATTCCCCACCCCCCCTGCAGCACTCATGCCAAAGGAAGCAGAAGCCTAGGGAATGAAGAAGTGAAGGGTGGGGGAAATGTGTTTCTAAGTCTTCCTCTTTGTTTCTCACCATGCTACTCCATCTTTAAGTGGCAATAAATTAATCTTCGCAAAGTAGACCCAGTTTTGCCCATCACAGTAACTAGTAAGTGATCTCCCCGTCTTCATCTTGAGCCACAAGCTTTTCCATCTTACTTTTATACCCTCACCCTGCTCAGAAGGGGGAAAGAGAGCAGCTGGGTGGTTACCTGGCAACCCACCAAGTTCAAACAACCAGAACTACTTGTTTGCACGAAGCTGTAACACAACTTTCCCCAAAATACTATTTACCTGCTATGTTTTTAGAAGATCAAAATGGAAGCTACTCAGACCAGAGAGTTGAGCTTATTCCCTAAGCAACCTACATCACGTAATCACGTTACTTAGTAACACAGACTGTAATACAACGTAATAGAGCTTGTAGTGAAGTCCAAAATACAAGAGAATGAAAGACTCTGCTTAAGACTTCATTCAGAGGGTGATCAGAGAAGCATACTGCATACACACAGGCATATTCCTGTTGGTATTTGCCCCAGGATCACTTTTTGGGCTAATTTGTGTAAAAGAACAATCTTTTCCTTAATCAATTCTGCTTCCCCAGACTACAGGACAGCAAATGAACTTCACAGCAGACGAGTTAAGCAATCACATTTGCTGTGTCTACGTAAGCCAGGAATTGACATCTAGTATTTGGCATAACTTTGCCATCTTCTAGACCGCATGAAGACCTGATGAACCCTTTAACTTCCCTTCCCCAAACCTATATGATCAAATGGTGTATTTTCAAATAGATTGATAAGTAAAGCATAGTATTTTATCCACAAATGTAAGTAAGAACATACTTTCAGTATCTGGTGTTTGAAATGTGAGAAAACACATTATGAAGTTAATACAAAAATATATATCCGAAATGCACGCATCTACAGTGCATCAGTAATGGACAAAGTTACTATTTACAACATGAAAATGGGGTGTAAGAGGCAAGAATAGGTACAGGAAATCTCCTCTCTTTTGGCTGTGCTGCTGCATACTTTCACATTTCTATCGACATTACCTGCCCGCACAGGACACACTGGGAAGACAAACTGCCATAAATTCTAAGTCAGAAGGACAGCTTTATGATTTTCAATAGGTGCAAGTTGCCACTGATTACACTCAAGATCAAGAAACTCCTGTCATCACTTAACCTGTTCAATAAAGCAGTTTTCAAAAAAAGGTTGAGCACACTCACCAGCTCTGGTGGCTGCATGTCATCACAGGCATCCACATGACACTGCATCATCTTCCAGATGCAACATTAACAGGAAGAAAAGAGGAAAGAAATCTAAATTAAGTCCATGCCATGCAGACTTACAGGTAACTTGGCAAGCAAATACCATACATACTGGTACAGAGAAACATTTATACTACAACAGACTTAAAAGTAAGATTTAGATCACCTTAAAAACTTGCTCCCTTTTATTTCATTTTGAGGGAACTGTAAGTGGAGTCACTCTCACTTTTTCCCCCCTCTTCCTGTAAACAGATTTTTCCTCTAATGAAGAAGGTCGAACAGCTAATTGCAGAGCAAAGCTTGAAGAAGCTTTTATTTTTCCTTTTAGAAAACCTTCAAGTACTAATATATATCAGAAACTTTTACTTTTGCCATGCATTAGAAACTGAAGGTTTAATAAGACTGAAACAAGTAACTGCCAGTGATTATGCCAACTGCTGGTCAAGCAGCAAGTACACTGCTTCTTGTGTTCCACCAGTTCATTTCCATATACCTCACATATGGTAGGGAGGTGATTGTCCCCCTGTACTCGGCATTGGTGAGGCCGCACCTTGAGTACTTGTCCAATTTTGGGCGGCACAGTACAGGAAAGACATTGAGGTCCTGGAGCGTGTCCAGAGAAGGGCAACAAAGATGGTGAAGGGCCTGGAGAACAGGCCTCATGAAGAGCGGCTGAAGGAACTGGGGCTGTTTAGTCTCAAGAAAAGGAGGCTGAGGGGAGACCTTACCACTCTCTACAACCACCTGATAGGACACAGTAGAGAGGCAGGTGCTGGTCTCTTCTCACAGGTAATTAATGATGAAACAAGATGGAACGGACTCAATCTGCACCAGGGTAGGTTTAGGCTAGACATCAGGAAAAATATTTTCACTGAAAGGGTTGTCAGGTACTGGAATAGGCTGCCCAGGGAGGTGGTTGAGTCACCATCCCTCAATGTGTTTAAAGTCCGTTTAGATGTGGTGCTTGGAGATACGGTTTAGGGGCATACGTGGTAGAGTAGGGTTGATGGTTGGACTTGATGATCTCAACGGTCTTTTCCAACCTGAATGATTCTATCATTCTATATAGCCAATAACTAGATTAACAACTTACTGCGGCTTAACTGTATTAGAAATTTAATTATGTTTTTAAAACATGTGATATACAGCATTTCTTTCTTTCAGAATTCTACAATTCCAGCAACTGATTTTCATTTGTGCATTATACAACCAGCTTCTTGAACAGGATATCTTAACATATGTAACAGAATATTCTACACTACAGACTCATTTGTGCTAGTGACTACTGGCACTAGAATAGAAACACGCTGCCTGGTTAAGGCAAGGAGCTTAACTTTTATGTCTAGTGAAAGAAAATGCATGCAGTCCTAACTGATGTAAAATTCTTTAATCATAATTTTCTCTGGTTTTTAACAGTGTGAACTAGGAGAATGAAGTTTTGTGACTTTTTTTTAGCATCTGCATGGATAAACAGAAGAACTGTCATACATTCTTCCTTTACTGTTTTTTTTTTTTTACATGCTTGTTAATGTCACATCTCTTAAACATGAAGAATGTTTTGTACTTTTTCAAGTGTTATGTGCCTTTATTCAAGTGTTTATACACCAAAGACACATGTAAGTACACATACATATGCAAGTTTAAAAAATTATCAAGAATTATAAAGGTATTTGAAGGAGCAAAGACACATTAGATGTCTGAAGACACTCACAGAAGTCAGAAGAAATGGTCCACTTAACATGAGACATTCTAATTCAAGTCTCATATTGTAAAATTTTTAGTACTTTGAAAATTTTAGCACCTGATTAGTTAATTAAAAAAATGTTTTTAAATGTGAGGGGATAAAATTATATGCTTGTCCACTTTATTTTCCACCCCTCCCACTGGTATCTGCATTTATGTATCTAAAAGATCCCTGAGGATGAAGATGTTAAAAAAGAAATACTGGAAATAAATTCAGGTTTTTTCAACTGTCAGAACAGCCCTTACAGTTCATAGGGATTTGATCTGGAGTAGTTACACTGAAATACATAGCTCTGTTAACAGAAAAACCACAAGTACGTCCTTCAGGAAAAAGCTTCGAACAGATTACAAACCAAATGACCTCTTTCAACAGCAGTGAATAACTAAACTATAACTGTAAGCCAGGCTAACAGACAAGTATCTTCCAAGTATCACACATCACATTGAGTGAGTGACCGCATGGGCAAGCGTAATCTTTTCAAATCAAAACAGGTTTTTCCGATTGTCAGCATTTACAAGGCTGTTGGTTCTGTCACATCTCTGGAATTCCAGAAAACTCCGTTCAGCATCCAGTTTTAAAAGTCCTGAACTACTCAGATGTTCACCTGAGAAAAGAATCTATCCTTGCCTTTTATTGCATCTATATAAAATAGAATCTATGTTAAAGAGCACTTCTGCTCTCTGAAAGCAGCCTTTCCCATGTATTACTTAGTTCACAAACCACAACAACGTTGGTTTACTCTATATATTTTGCTAACAAATGGCTTCTATATGAAACCAAGTGTAGCATAGGAAGACCTTACATTTCTTGCACGACATTTCCAGCTCCAGCACCATAATCCATGTGAAGACTTCCTATCACCTTACACAATTTAGGATGATAGGATCATGGTTAACTAAAACTAGAAATTAAATAGAGTCTTTGTTGGTAAGCAGTGCACACTAAGCAAGCTAGGATACTTGGTCATAAAGGAGCCAAAGCTCACTGTGAAGAGGAAATAAAAGTTGTTTTTTGGAATGAAAAAAACGAACAGACATGATTCCACTTGTAGAAACTCATGTCAAGAAAGCAAAGGTCAACCTGACAAAAGTCAGTCTAAACAGAAGTCAAAATGGATTTTCTATTGTAGCTGGAATGGAATAAAAATAGAACACAGTACTGCCCAAAAACGAAGCTAAGTAAGACTGTGCTCAACCAGATACTCAAAGAAAGGCAGGCTGCTCAGTTTATATGCTCTAGTACTGGCTTTATTAGTAGCAAATGTAACAAAAACTGAGCTTTGAGAACATGTAAATACAAATAAGGAATCTTGGAAGTGTACTTCTCAATTCTTCAGGTTTCTTAACATGTGTGCAAATCTTTCCTTTTAATACTTCCAGTAAGCATGTGACATTCTTACAATACATACTTCCAGTAACTCTAACTCCCAAGAAGGAGGAAATGTGTAAAGCCCATTTAAGTTGCCCATTTCATAGCTCCTTCCTGCTCCTTTCTCTTCTGTTCATTTAAAAGAAAACAAAATAAAAAAATCTCGCAGGTGTCATCTTAAAGACAGTGCCAACCAAAGTCAGAGGAGAAAAGAAGATTCTAACTATAGAGATTTACCTCCCAGGTATGATTTCTCTTTCCAGAAAGAGGAATCTAGTACAACAGCAGATAACTGCTGAGAAGTCTCTCTCCGGATTACAAGGAAGAGTATCTTTAAGCCTTCTTTTAAGCTCTAGTTGATCTGGAAGGTGATTGCTCAGCGAGTATGAGCATTAATAAGGTTGACTGTACCTAATTTAATTTAGGATTCAACTTAGCAGTGGCCCTAGCTGCAAAACATTTGGAATTACAGTGGCTTTTTTGCCGACAGAGAAACCAGCAAATAGGCAAGAATTGATTCAAAAGAGCAATCACCTTCCAGATCAACTAGAGCTCTTCACAGATACTATTCTATAATCTATATTATTCTATCTATACTGTTTTCCAACATTAGTGTTAAGAATGCTTGTATGAATCAAAGAATTTCAGAGAATATTTTTTTGACATATTTTCTTTATCAAGCCTACCAATTCCCATTAACATCATCCTGCTTAAAAAAAAAAAAAAATCTAAAAGATGGTCAGCGCAAGAAAACCTGCAGGATAGAGCACAATCAAACTTCCCGTTATCGTTTTGATGGCAGGGAGGAAAGAAAGAAAACAGACCATGTGTCAGATACCACTTACACCCCAAACCTTCCTCCTCAGGAGGGACCCTTTGTATGGACAAAATATTTTGGGTTTATTATCAGTACCACGCATGTCCCACACTTATGTGCACATGTTCAGCAACTGTATCTTCAGACAGTCAGCAAGCTGACTGGGCTTACGAAACAGAACAAGGCAAATTTTAAACTCTTACCATGCCATCATAACGGTCTCCCGGTCTGCCCCTTCGGTCATAGGACATAAGATCTCTAAAATGAAAAAAGCAGCAGCACGTGAATTGCGTTATAAACTAGTTTATCTACTCTAATTTAAATTTTCACATTCATGGTTCAAACAACTTCATTTCAAACTACTCTAGCCAAGTACGGAATGACACAAAAGTTTCAGAACTACTCGCTGTAGTCCTGGTAGACTACTACAGTGCAGCAAATAATTAAATTCCAGTACTTTTCAAAATACTCTGGTCTGATACACACTCAATCCTGCATAAGCACTACCAACATGGAAGCGTGGAAAAAACACTGGGAAGATGAACATGATTCAGGCAATTGTACGTGATGTGAGTTCTGTGTAACGCATTTATGCAACAACTCACCCGCCACGAGGAGGTGGTGGTGGAGGAAGAGGAAGATTACGAGCTCTGCTGCCACCTCTACCACCACGACCTGGTGGAGGTGGTGGAGGTCCTCTGCGAGGGCTCATATCATCATAATCTCTTCTCGATGGAGGCATGGGTCGTCCGCCACGGCCAGGAGGCATTCGATCAAAACCTCCTCTTCCACGCATCGGAAAGCCTACTGGACGTCCCCTTCTATCATCAAACATCATTGTGAAGCCGCCATAGTCATATGTTTCATCATAGAAATTGGGATCGTAAGGCTGGGCCCGTCCTTTAATTGGAGACTAAAGGAAACAAAAAGAACAATCCCCCCCAACCCAATTAGGCTATTACAATTGGCATATTTCATTAAATTAAATATATTAAATGTATAAATACAAATTTATGCATTTGGAACACATTTTTGATTTCACAATGCTGGTAAGAAAGGAGATGATGATGTGTTTCCTGTGAACTTAACTATAACAAATCGCTGTTACTTGTCAGCAGCAAATAAATTTTGTCTCCCTCTTCAATTTTTGCATCTTAATGATATGCGAAGCATGAATAACGGCTCACTAGTAACAAAAATTGCTTCCCTCCCCCATAAGGTGCACCCCAATTCTAGAAAACGGAAAAATAGTTTCAAAAAGTAGTAACAGCCAATCACTTTGCTACTGGGAAAGTGGAAGGTACTAAATTCAAAATAGAAATGGAAAAATACTGTTTTTCATCCAAATGATCCCTAACATTCATGAATGCCAATGAAAATGAGTTTAATAAACACTACCTCAGAGATAAGATCCAAGATAATCTTGATACATTCAACAACTCTATCAGGTTTTCCACCAATAAGTACCACTCTGTCAGTAGAATGAGGACAACACTCTTGGAAAAGCTTAATGGTGGTCTGAGTGTTCTGTTGAAGAAAAAAAAAAATCCAGGATTGTCTAACATAAGTATTTTAAACAAATTTATAAATCCATTAAAACATTTTTAAGCAACAAGCCCAAAGACAATTAAATTCCCAGCCATTTTAAGTGCATGCTTCCTTCTGAGTTCTCACAACAAATTTAGTTTGAAGACTACAGGGTTTGGTTTTTTTTTTTTTTTAAGATCTATCCTGACACTCTTGTACACAGAGGAAAAAAGCTCTGTTTTGTCCTCTTTCAGTTATGGCTCATCTACATCATCATTTAATAAAATACTAGTAAAAGGTCCACACATCCATTGTGAACTTACAGGCTGTATTAACATTCACAGGTCAAGAAAACACACTTTGGATGCAAGACAGCAATGTTGCTACATGCGAACAGGTACCAGCTTATACCTGACACAATCTGAAATTGCCTCTGACACAATGCCCAGAAAGGACAAAACACAGACATATTTTAAGTTCTCAGAGGCCATTATCTTTTAAAAATCTCATTCCTTCACTGAAATAAAACAATGGTGTTCTAGGAGGCTAAATAAAGAAAAAAATTCTAAAAATAAAGCCCTTTTACAGTAATTTTTAGACATCTGTTGAATTATCATCCTAAGAGTTCGTGGAAATACATTCACTGTAAACCAGTTTGCACGTCCAACCACCTGAAGATGCAGCAGTTCACTCTAGGAGCGATGAATGTCATTTTAATAAAAAAAAAATCCTTTCTTTAAAAACATTACCATAAATATTGCTGAGAAGCTAGACAAGCTAGGTTCTATCACCAATGACTTTACTTCTGAGGGTCTGCAAGAAAGTTGAAACTCACAGCTCCATCTCAGAACATCGAAATCACATATGCAGTATGTTCTGAAGAAATTACTGCACAGAAGATACTTACACCTGCCCCTTATGAACATGAAACACTAAGTTGTTTATAGAACAACAACAAAAAATCTCAGAACCACAAGTACCTCTCTGAGTTCTTTAATTTTAGCACCCTTGACACCAATAATTCCTCCTGCCAAACTCTGGTGAATGAGAAGTCTTAATTCGCAGTCAAAGTCGCTGCCTTTGTAGTGTTGATACTGTAAGAAAGATGGATACAAGGAAAAGAATAAAATATTAGTCACATAAAGATTTAGAGTATTTGGTGTTTTTTTTTTCTCCAAACACATGGTATGCCTTGATTTATTGTTGAATTGTAATCCTGTACTGCCTAGGATCACAACTACTTAAGCACCTCACCTCAACGTAAATGGATGACAAATTAGTTTTCCTTATTTATTACACAGCACAACTTTCTACGAAGGTTTAAGAAGGCATCAAACAGAGCAACACTCATTTAAAGAGTCAATGCAGTATACGAGTTACAACTACTTCAAAACGGGGACAAGTCAGGAGGCAAGTATTTTGAAACGGGGGTGGCCGTTTGAAACATTAATTTAATAAAGCCCATCATCTACCAAAAAAATGTCAACATGTAGTTTGAGAGCCGTAACACTACTCTAACAGGCTTTTGTTGGTTTTTTGGTTTTTTTTTTTTTTTTTAAATTTTCTAATTGCCTGTGTTTAAAAAGCAACAAATCATCCAGAACCATCTTGTTTCAAAAGCTAATCGTTAACCTTTAAAAAGAAACAAACATTAAGAGACATACCTCTTCTAAAGTAGGGATAATCTTCTTCAAGATTTCTCCAATTGTCTCTATATCTGCACTGATACTCAAGATGCTGTTGGAAGCCATAATGCCACACAATATGGAGAAGGTGGAAAAGAAGAAGTAGAATTAAATTTTTTCCATCATACACAAAATTTTTACAAGATTTACTACACAGAAGAGCTTACAGTTAATATTCCCCATTTAAAGTAAACCTGTTTGCTCAATTTACAACACATGCATCTTTGTTTATGCCCAATACATATGCATGATAAATTTAAGATTAGGTAGGTCTTGCAGAGAGAGAGAAAGAAAGACAGAATGGGCTTTTGGAAGGGCTCAGATTAAGTGGGCAAGAAATTGAAGCAGAACTGAAAGCAGAAGTGAGTATTCATGTTCCCCGCCACCACTAATTTAGGATACCCTCGCTACCACATCGGTAAAACTGGCACACCTTCTCATAGAAAAAGTGGGGATATGCAAGTGGTGAACATTGTATCTGCAGTAAGGCTATGAGACCAGTTAGAAATCAGATTACTAATGGGCTCTCCAAGAAAACAAATACAAATGCAAGACAAAAAAAAAGACAAAACAAATGAGAAGTGAAGGAAAGTGAACCAGAGTTAGCATTTCATCAGAAATAATTATGAACAGGCAATGTTGAGGGGAGCAAGGTGGGCCACAAAGACAGAGCGAGAGACTATTTTGAAACAATTTGATTTACAATGCAGCAAATATGCAACACTTGAAGCTGTGCTCCTTCCATTGAAATAAAATTAGTGGATTGTTTGGGTGGGCAACTCACGTAAAAGTTCAGTGACAAAAAGACTTAATGGGGAAAATAAGACAGAAAACTTGAAAAAAAAAACAATACACCGTCTATAAGGGGATACTATTTAATTATATCAAAGGCAGGTAATAAAATACATTTCTCTCTTTCTAATCAGGCAGTGAGGCATAAACTGTTGGGACATACCGCTCGGGGCCACTGCTGTCTGGGACTGAAACACTGGCATTGTACTGCATTGGTCATTGGCGTTCGTGGATGTTGGCATTGGGCATGGGTATTCAATCGGAAGTTGTCAAGTATGGTACCCGTTTGGCAACGAGCACATTTTTGGGCATAGCCAACCAGGGTTTTCACATGGGCGTTCAGGGGCGGATGGGCCAACGTCATGGTGGGCAACGCAGGGGCAAGTCGATCCAGTACATGGGCAACGGAGATATATGGCCAAAAAAACAAGGAGAGGGAAAAGGGGGAAAAGCAATAAATTTTAATTTAATACAAACTATACTCATTACTCTCAATTAATGAAACAAGCTTAAGTTGTTCTGAAGGCTAACACAATAACGGATTGCTACACCATCTGTGGCTGAACAGTATGGACCTTAAAAATGAGTCACTTGATCTGACTAAACTACTTTTTAATATGTGATGTTTCAGTAGCAGGCTGGCTCATGAGGGTAGACACAAAACCTGTCAAGATCAGTATTACTAGAACCGTGGGCAAATCGGGAAAGTTAGTTCTCCAGACCAATCTAAATTATCCGGACCTAGGTGACGTATTGATTTTCTTAAAAAAAAAAGGAACAAAAAAGGAAAACACCCTGAAAAGATCAACTAGCTGCCGAAGTTAGTGAGCGTATGTACGATTCCTGACCATTTCAACTCAAACCTCAATTCTAGTTGTGGTAGTTTATGAACTTAGTTGGAACTGATTTGTAATGATATATTGCCAAATCCCGTGTTGAAGAGAGTCTTGATCGGAAAACTGTTGAAATTGTAGCTGATGTTAAGTACAGAAGTGTAAACAAACGGAATTTAAGAAGCGTTGCCAAGTTTTATAAATACACAACATTAACGCTGAGCATGTGTCTAATCACAAGAGTCAACCCACTGTAAAATGCGAACAGGCAAGTAAGTCATGACCATTCAAAAAATGCTTCCAAGTAACAGAACAGAATGTTACTTTACTGTTCTATACCCATATTTAAATAAAGCAACCTTAACATTAATGCTTTTGTGATTTGTGTGCAAGCTGTTAAAGAACAGATGGACTGCTTTGTTTGTTTGCTTTTTTAAAGGAAGTTGAAGAATTCCTCTATCACTGGGTTAAGCCAGCCACCTGCAATGGTTTCAGTAGTACTATAATTGATTCACACATAAGGGAAATGGTACAATTAAGGGTTTTAAGCTTTGTCAGTATTCCTAATTAGGATGTTAACTCAGTTGAAGTGTGTAATTGAGTGGAATCCTATTCAAAAGCGAAGAGATTTAATATAAACCTCTTCTCCCACATGAATCAAGCTGGGTTTTAATTACAATAGAAACTGAAGAAGTTATCTGCTCTAACATCAATACAAATGGCTTTTAACTAGACTATTGATGTATAGAGTTGAATTGCTCCCATGTCTAGAAACGCACGAAATCAAGCTTTCGATGTAGTGCTCTGAAAGAATTGGCGTTAAATTAGTTCAAACTCATATATACTCACGTCTGTACGAAGTGCCTTAATATTTTTGCCACCTTTTCCAATCACTGCTCCAGCGTTCTGGAAAACAGTTTTCAGAAGTTACGTTATGCCAACACAGCACAGACCATGTTTTTAAACTCAAGGCTAAGAATGGTAAATCTATTTTTGCATTACACTACTGGCCCAGGCAGGCGGGTACTGCTTTTAAAACATTCCAATAAAATTGAAACAAACTGATACAGTTTGTCCACGGAAAAAAAATTATCAGCAGCTACTATCACTGAACTTAGGCAAGAGAAGGATATTAAATAAAGTTTTGCAACTAACATTTCAATCCCGAATGGAAGTTTCTAGGCAACTCTGCCTGTGTTAAAGCAACCTCAGATTATAGCTCTCAAAAAAATATACTGTATGAATGTAATGTAGGTCAATGATTTCCCTAATTTACTGACTCATTTTTTATTTTTTCTTTTTTTAAGGAGTATGTTTCCAAATTCTACTTCTGCACTCCAAACATTTCTTGATAATTTCGAGTGCTAATTTTGGTTTACACCTCTAACTTAACTGACTCCTCAGAGCAGTATATTCTGGAAAAGGTTAAAGGAAATGTTAACAGCCACTAACTTCAAGTTTCTAACATCAACAGAAATGAACTGGCAGATAGTAAAGAATAATTGCAAAACTGTATTTTTACCAGGATTACATGCAAAAGTATTATTTTTATTACACATATCATACATTATACTAATAGCATGCAAAACATTCTGTGGCACCCCACATAACTTGACTATTGGTCAGAAACACCACGCAGAGTTAAGGTACTGTTCCCCCATGCCAACACAAAAGACTGACATACTTCAGAAAGTACAAACCATCTGTAACAACTGGAAACACCAGAGGAAATTCATACATAGCAACTTTACTTAACTATTTACACTTGTCAACAAAACCATTGCAATCCCTGAAGCATTACTCCCACGTTTCTTCCTGTTGATGCAGTTGAACAAGTTTAGTAGATCTGTTTGGGAGAGTTACTGAAATCCTCAGGAAGTTCTTGTCTTACCTCTCATATTTAATCTACAATCACTAGCTGATCATCCTTTAAACTGCTTCCTTTCCAAAGATTAATATACAGTCACTCCCCTCAAAGTAACAACCTTCCTCTTGAATGTAGAAACACCTTATAATTTCTATTGCTCTAATTTTTTCAGCAATTACATCTTTTAAAAATAACTGTATTGATCCTTAGGGACTTACCCTTTAAAAGAACCACTGAAGAGAATTCCATCTTGATACATTTTTACTACCATTCAGTCTAATTAAAATTATTTCTACTAAGTTATCTCATATTAAATAAAGTACATATTCTTTCTAAACACATATCCCAATGTACATTTTGTCACCACTGTCTTGAGCAATGTTATACGCAAAACCAGTAAAAACAAAAAGCATACCTTGCTCTGAAGCAGGATGCGTAATTCAACCATCTCATCTGTGTTCCGAGATCTTTTGAAGGCCTGCTCTTCTTCCATATCTTCTGCAGGACGTTTGCCTGTAGAGAGGTCCATAGTGGGGAAACACAAACAATTATTTAACTTTCTAAGTTGTAGTAAAACGGGACACATGTCAAATTTATGCTCTGTATTCTTAACACACACTTTCCTACTAGCCCAACAGTAATTACTGACACCTACTCTGAGCAGCTATTAGCACAGAAACAACTACTGAAAATCCATTTAAAATCTATGAACTGTGATTTAAATGAGAATGTTGCACACACTGAGAAATTAATGACACCCTGTTTAAAGCAGTGCAGCATCACCCACTTAGTATTTATTTGTAACTGGAAAAGAACCTTTCAGGCAAAAAGCTCAAGGTAGTTTGTCCTACACGGAAATACTGATGGAGTAATAGTTAAGTAGCACTTCAAATACTGTTTGGAAAAAACTGGCACGAACCAATGACACTAATGCCCTAACTCCCTCACCAATTATGCCCAAGAATGAAGCTCTTTAGAGGTATTTCACATATTTATACTCCTGTATATACAAACTGCAATAAAAATGCAATTACTTAATATGCCTGATAGTATTCTTACGTAGTCACACTCTCCACAGAAGTACTGAATATTTAACTATGAAATATTTTCAAATCCATAGTCATAACTTTCAGCTACTTATCCCATGTCTAAAACATGCCAACAGAAAAATTATGCATTTATGCTTCAAAAGCATCTGTAATGATACAGTCTAATTAAAAATGAAAGTATTTAATGCAGAATGCAAAACTACTGCTGATACAAACACCTGATACAGTTAAGGCATTACAAAATATTTAGAAACACTGAAATCTAAAGAGGTTCTTTCTAGAAAGAAATAGTCCTTTAAAAAATTTACCATTTGTCTCTGTGTTGGTAAAGGTCTCTTCCTGTTGTTCAGTCTCCATTGCCTTTTCTTCTTAGGTGGGCAGGCAAAACCTGTTGAAGAACAAAAAAGCTGGTACATCTATTCTACGAAAAGGCAAACTGTATATCGTGCTAAAGGCAAAAAGCAAAAAGAAATGCCTGCTTCTAGAACTTACCACTATTATATATCCTTGCAGAGAAAAACTCAAGTATTCTGGGCGGGATCAAAATCCAACAGCCTATTGCTTCAAGAGCCTACGAAAACAGCATATATCAGTTGTGCCTCTGCTCACTCACAGCTCTGATTCTCACTACAGCCAAAAAACAGAGGTTTGACCTGAGGTTTTGCTGCAAAGTTTTTCTTTATAAAAGAGAAAGTACATCCAGGCCAAACACACCACTAAGAGGAGTTAAAAGACAAGTCTGTAAACTTACAGATGAACAATTACTGTCTGAATGATAATTTTTGGATACATACTAGTTTTAGGCAATTGCATTTACCAAAAACTATTTTCAGGTAATCGCATTCACCAAAAACTATTTTCAAATACTGAAAGTGAACATGCATCCAGCTCCCATTTTCAACATGTTATACAATACATGCCTTGGATTTACTTTTTGAAGGGCACTACATAATAACCTGCTCCTGCTGCTTAGTTTAAACAACTTAAATTAAAAAAAGGCCTACTAGGGCGACTGTCAGCATTATATATATATATATAAAATCTATATAGATTTATAAATTCTCTATCAACGTTACTAGCAGGCATTTTAGGATGCCTCCCACTCAAGTATAACAGCTGAACAAAAGTCACATTACAACTTCTAGCCACAGTGGGAAAAAAAAAACTTTTTAAAACACCATTCTGCATCGTTACATATAATCCTCTGTAGACACACAACCAAGAACCTCAAAAGCAGCTGAACTTCACCATGATTTTCTTAAACAGTATCTTCTTTGCAACCTGTTTTTGTTAAGTTCGTTTCAGAATACTAGTATGTCACCTTAGAGAGAAGTCTAGAAAAAAGAAGTAATTTTCTAACTTACTCTCTTAAAAAATGTGTTTCTACGGATAACAGAGACAAAAAACCATGTACTTCCCTCTTGTATTTTATTAATTTCCATTGCCTCAACAAATGTTAGCCACTCGTTCTAGTATCCACTTCTATAAACCAAAAAAAAAAAAAAAAAAAAAAAAAAAAAAAAAAAAAAAGATGCATCTAACTTCTTAAACATACTCAGCCAGCTGTTCACTTGTAACTGTTGCCCTGCTTGTAGAGTTTAACACCCGGCACTGCCTTCCCAGCACACGCTGGTCTTTCCAGGCACTGAAATTGAGCTAACGGACGTACACAGATTTAATGATAGTGAAATCTCAGCCATACGTTGCTAAAAGGCTGTTATGCGGGTGGGAGACTAGGGAGGGGCCGGGCAGATTTTTACACGGTTTAAATAGCCCTTTCGGACCCCTGTTATTATAGTTCCGACCATCCCAAGAATTTTAGCGCGGCAGATTTCCAACCATCACAAGAACGTCAGCGCTGCGGAGAACCAACTGTAATACACTGTTCAGAGCTCAGTCTCCCCTGGACGCGTCTGTTCACCTGCCTGGCCAAATCTCCCCTAGCCGCCTGTAGGCAAGGCGCTCTCTGTTACGGCTCTCTGCTGGGTAAATCGAGTTGGCGGGATTAAACCGACTACCGCCATGTTTTTATAAATACCGAAAGGATAAAGCGGCGACGAAAAGCGGGAGGCTGCACTAGCTACCAGACATAACAGCTGGGAAACGCCGGCGCGCTTTGAGCCCCGCTCCCTTTGGGGTTCAGCGGCTCTTTCCGCCCG